TTTGGTATTTCTAACCGCACATTCCCTCATTATATTTTCTCATAATTTCACTTTTCGTTAAGAGAGAAGGCACTTGAGACATAAAGCGCTAGTTATGGAAATAATTGCTTTCACAAAGCTTTGGTAAGTTTTCACGAATTTCATCTGATTTGTTCGAATTTACTCGCGCATTAGTCTAAATTGCAACAATTCTGTTCTATGTAGTGTCATTTAGCTAAATGATTTCCGGACTGTGGTGCAATGTTCACACTCCCTAATTTTCTTGGAAAAAACCAATCTCAGATCAGCTCAGAATTGCACTTAGATGATTCCCTCAAAACACGATCCCTAGGAAAAATTGCTTGGAATTGAAAAGTTTAAGACAAAAGAACAGAGGTGGTAATCATTATTTCATTCTTTCATTTAAACAAGAAATGGAACTTTCATTGCAACGAAAACAAAGTATGCACCTTCTGCTTTTTCAAGAAAAAGAATATCAATCCTCCTGATACTTTAATGCAGCACTCATAATGCTTATTTGGTGCTGTATTTAGATATCAGGAAATCGTCAAACAAAAATAACACGCAGATTTCTTCATGCAACCGATAGAACTATTTTTTTAATTTCGAACCAACTCACTTTGAAAACAAGTTAAAGTTAGTTCTCAGTATTTTTGGATTATAAAATATTTTTGACAAAAATGTGAGAAAAGTAGATGAAAAAAATTTATACTTTACTATATCACAAATACAATAATACAATATATGGATGGTGATGCCATTTACAAGTAAACAGTAGTTAGAATAATATGCAAATTAATCGTTAATTGAAATTAGCATGCTTAAAATTTCAAGTAGGAGGAATAACCATCAAGAACTCAAAATTCACTAGCTTTGATTTTCTGAAAGTTTACGCTAGAAATCATTTGAATCTATAGCTCAAATTATGAAGAAACATTGAATTAATAGAACAGGTCACTACAAATGCAAAATACTAGTATAGTAGTGTTAAAAATTATAAGTCAAGAATAGCAAACATATACATTATTATGTTTGCCAAATGATCTACTTCATCACTGCAGAAAAATTTGACCACACACTTTGATTATGTTCCGAATCCCTATCTCGGTTGTCCAAAACAATTTCTGATAAATAATTTGCTGAAAGAGTGCTTTTGCAGGCTGATTTGGGTTTCGGACAATAGCGTTTTCGCTGAAAAGTCTTTATATTAGCAACTAATTGTAAGGTTCCTACTTAAAATATTATTATTTGCGGCAACATAGAAAATTTACACTCGCATTTATCTTAAATATTTCTGATGCACTCTACTGGACCTCAACAGTTTCATTGATATCACTTGGCACATTCTCTGATCTCTCCGAATCCATAACATATCCATCCTCAGTTTTCCTAGCTGCGCACTAAAATATATAGTGCACTGCGATTTTAGTTCGTATGCTTAACACTCAATTTATTCATACCAAAAAGGTTTTGAAACAATTTTTCAAATGCCTAAAACGCACCCGCACTCCAGACTCAAAAGTTATTCCCTCCTTCTTTTCTATGCTGTCAACAATATCACGTTTTGAAGTTGCATTTCGTCTTTGTTCATTCTCCGATGGTTCAGTTTCTGATATATTAGAAATATACCATGAATTTCTTCGAATAAATTTGGCACCTTTTTCTTTGCGATCTAGTGATTTTGAAAACTTTAAAGTACTCAGCATCTGAATTGATTACGATTGTCTAAAAACTTCAGAATCATTACTGGAAAAAAATTGTAATATCAGGCCCGAAGAGTACTAACCTTCTACAGAATACATTTGTTTTAAAAGAGGAATCTGCGTGGAGTGACCGCGAAGTGTTTCTAAGCGCTCAGTTTCCTTAATGCATGAAAACTATTAAATAATTTCTGAATTAAATAATTTCTGAACTAAAGTATATCTCTTTTGGTTTTAAAGTTTTTTAATTCAGGAGATTCAGATTTTTAAAACACTGGTAAACAAAAATTGACGAAAATACCATGAAGGAACAATGATCAAGTAAAAACTACTTACCTCTTTTTCTTGTGCCATAAGTTTACCAAGGTAATCTTGAAGTTCATTCAATTCATATCGCTGCTGTTGCATTTCAGCATTATTCCTTTCACGAAAAGCATTGTTTTCCACTTGCAAGCGGTTACACTGAAAATGACTAGTAAAACATATTTTTCATTGAAAATCAGAGAATAAACATTATTATTACAATAAAGAAGAAATGATTTTTTCTAAAAATGAGAAGTACGAACAAGTTGTCATATATACGTTTGTATTTAAAACGCCATGATTATTTTCCACCAGGCGATTCTTACAATTTAAATTGTTCTCAAATAGTTGTCTATTCTAAATATGGATCTTATCATTTATTTCCAAATTAAAAGTCATCACTTCCATATCTAGTTCCATCCTCTTGTTTCGGAGAGCAGCAGTTGCTTTTCTCTCTACTAAAATTATTTCTTCTAACTCTTTTTCCTTTTCAATCAAAATTTCAACATCTTTCGACCAATCTCGCTGCTCATTACCAAGAAGCATCATCAGAGAAATGTGTTCACTTTTAGCACAGTCAAGTTCCAATTCCACTCGTTTTACTTGATCTTCAAGTGAGCATATTTGTCCTGTTAATTGTACCTAAACAGACCTTTTTAAAAACGAAGATTTGAGACAAACAAAAAAGAGAAGACTTGAAACAAACAAAATTTTTCGGATTAAAAACGCAATAAACTCTGTAGCTTTCAATAATGTAGCCTTCATGTTTGTGCGTTAAAGTGGAAGGGAAATATAAATCCTATAATTAACCTGCAAATTTTCGCGGATATTCCTGTTGTGAAGAGAGATCATTTGAGGATCATCCTTTTTTGTCGACATGAGAATCTCATGTTCACATTTTAAACTCGCGATCTAATATCAAGTAAACAAAAAATGAGGTGTCTTGCTTTTAGCATATCTAATACAAGTTGTTGATAATAACAATAAAAAATATAAAAGTTTATCACGATACTAACTTGTTCATCAAGGGCTTTTTCTTTTCCTGTGAGATCTTTATTCTGCTCTTCTAGTTTTGACAATTCACCAATCAACATATCAAGTTTATGAAAACGGTGGTCAAGTTGTTTTTTTAACTCATTTTCTTCAGTAATAACATCATTCACATTTTCTTCCTAAACAATAAAATGATTAAATAGAAATTATCTCCAACCATTTCAAATATTTTTCATTAAAGATGAAGTTTTTCATTATATTTCTGGCTCTACTTCAACTTTTCTTCGTTGTACAAATCTTAAACCTAACTACTTCAGATGATAATATTTTCTGTAGTTCTGCCTCTGCTTCATTTGACTGTTGTTCAAACTTCTGATTTTCAGAAAATTTCATATCTGCAAATACACAGTTAAACTTAGCATTAACTTTTGCATCACAATTACACAAATGTAGTGTAATGATTATTGAAATGCAAATTTATACCAAGATTTAATTTCAGCATATGGATGAGATCAAGCAGTTCCTCCTGTTTTTCCATCAATAATCGTTTTTCATGATCTCGTCTTTTACATACACGTTCTACTCTTTGTTCGAAATTTTTATGACGTATTAGATGGTTGAGGCTTTTTTGCAATGCATCCATTGCATCATCGAAATCCACATTTTGCCTCACTGTAATAAATCTAATTCTGTTTCATTGCGTAGCAACTATACAACTACAAAAATTGTCATTAGCCTTTTACATACTCACAAATCAATAACTGTTTTAGATTCAATGACCTTCAACTGAAGAATGTTAGTTACAAAACTATTCTGTAAAATCAATGTCTCTATCAGGAAGTAAGAAAATTAAAATTACTTTTTCAGTACATACAAATGGTCCTGATGAGTGAATTAAAAATCGTATTTTAAAGCCAAGCAATTAGCACAGCTCATTAGCACAGTATATAATACAGTATTATATACTGTGCTAATGAGAGATTATTTGTAAATAAAATTTCTGGAGTTTTTTTGATATTTAAACAACATTTTAAACATACGTTTCTCTCGGACAACTTTCCAATCATTTTCAAAGCAAATTTTAAGGGTCTGAAAGCGAGCCATCATAGTCTGAACATTAGTACCACTGCCTTTGTTAACCACTTCAACCGCATCTATTGCTAAAAAGAAACAGTGCAGATTAAAAAACTGTATAGATATTGATTTCATCCAAGCAAAACCGAAATAATCTCATCTAGGCACTGAATTTTTATCAAGAATGTTAAGGTCAGAAGAAATCAAAAATAACCCTTTTTGGTAAGCTCTGCAGCTGTTTCAAGTCGTTTTTCGATCAGTTTCATATTTCTGGAATTATGCTCAAATCTGCAATGATTCATGAAAGTAAGAAAATCGATTTAAAAAAGTACAAACCTCCCGAAATATTTCTTACTTCTTCCAGCTTCCGAAAAGCAAAAAACTTCTACAGGTAGAATTTTTTCAGTAACCTACAGTGAGTTCATTTCATTGAAAGTACGACGTGACTGCTTAAGATTTTCTTCTTCGTCGATATTTTGCACAAGAACAGACTTGGAGCGTTGCCACATGTTTTTTTCGGCTTTTGAAAATGCCAGTTTCTTAAAAGTTTTGACTATGTTTGAAATTTTTAAGAGAGCTTTTTAAAGCATCTTAATAATGCGCAGACCTCTTTAAGCAGTAAGTCGTGTTTCTGAACGAGTAGTCCTACACCTCGTATACTTGGCGGTGATTTCTCCATTAGTTTTAGTTCTGTGAGAGATTTCTTAGCCGATAGCTCAGTATCCAGTTCAGTATTTTCGAAACCTGGTACAGTACAGATATCGATCGACTCAGGAATATATCATGCCAAAACCAACCAACAATTTTGCTGAAAGAAAGCGTCACAATTTAGAACTAGAAATGAAAAGTGATGGAAAGGCGAAAACGTGCATGAGAGTGCTAATTGCGTGCTACAGTTGGAATTTTACAGTAGTGTCTTCCATTAGTAAATGCAGTAGGAATACGGCTTGCTTATCGCGTCCACAACAAGCTTAATACTCCTTTTTACGTGTTATGGGAAATGGTCTATTTTCACAAGTTAGCCTTCCTCACTCATGCAATCATTACACATGCATGTAAACTTGATTTAGTGATGATGAAATGTGTAAGATTGAACAGATTTTTCAAGAATGAACAGAAAGCGGATGAAACAGTAAATTCTACCTAAATGCTGAGATCAAAAGCATCTGAAAGTCATAAACGCAAGCAAATGGAAGGTCTAGCTGAAATGAAGATGGGGTAACACGTGCTTGAAACATTTGAAGTGATATAGACGTCGAACAGATCAGAAAGCGAGACGAAAAACAAAGAATAGTACGGAATTTCGCAATAACCGGAGAGAGAAACAGACATTCACTGATTTTCTTGATTTGCACGTAATGTTCTGGTGAGGAGCAGTTCTGAACGAATACTTTATGTTCACATTTATTCACAAACTCTCTTGTGCCATTTTGAAATTTTTATGGCACTAATTTGCGCACTCATCAAAATTTATTGGGACCTATACGTCAAAAGTGCAGCTCTATACTCCTTTTTACGTGTTTTAGGAAATGGTCTCTTTTCACAGGTTAGCCTTCCTTACTCATGTAATCGTTACACATGCGTGTAAACTTGATTTAGTGATGACTGCAATGTACAAGATTAAACAGATTTCCATGTGCATTTTGTGATCAACATTTTGTTGCTTCAACGTAGCGGATATATTTAGACATATTCGAAATCATAGTTTGACAAGTCAGAGGTCAAAAAAGGTAAGTCAGAGGTCAAAAAAGGATCATCATCTCTTTGAGAAGATTCCGGTTGATTTTGTGCTGTGTCACTTCTTGCTGGTAATTATTCCATATTTTGCAAAGTACTACTTTACATATTAATTAAGTTGTTAAATTTACTGACATCAATTCAGGCAGTACGCTGGGTTGTGAACTAATCACCCAGTTATATTGTGCTTTCTGTATATAAACTTTATGGTTTGCGTAAAGTTTTATGACAGTTATAAACTTAATATCGTTATGAAATTTTAATTACGTAGCAATTTCGGATATTAGAAGTATATGGTGACCCATACGAATTCCAAAATTGCTAATTTTCTTTGCAGTGTAAGCTTGTCGGGATAACGAAAAGTTGTTAAACATTTTAAATCATTCAAGTAGAGTAAAAAAATGCAACAGGTGACAACCTCGCAAATAAATTATAATTTCCAACATTCAACGGATGTGATACCTCATTACAACGGAGGTAATTAGATGGTAATTCATGTTTAGGTGTTCATTAGACATTTGATTGCTTTTAAACTCTCCGTTTTTAGTTATAACAGCACTCTGAATCACATTTTTATTGGCTTTCTAGAAATCACACTCGATTCCATACTTGGTTTATAATTTCAAAATTTTCAGAATAAAATCATTTTTAAGAAATCATGGTTTTTTTATTAAATAAAAGATCAACTTTATTTTTGCTCAAGAAAAACATGCGAAATATTTTTTTGGGAAATTTTTAGTCATTTTTCATTGCAAATTATTAATTATTTATTGGATATTTGTTTCAGAGCACATAAATTTGGATGTCGGCAATGATCAACTTTGTCAAAATATGTCATCAATTACAGTAATTTTTTTCTTCAGTTTTGCTGTGCAAAGCTATACTTTTTTAAATTCAAAATTTTATCAGGTCGGTGAAAAGAATACAAGAAGGAATGATGCACATTGGTGTTCTCCATATAATCATTACACCGATAATTCATGTTATTTGTATGCCAATTCAGCAGAACAGCAACTGGTAAGTTGAAACAGTTCTGATTCCTTCAGTGTAATTTGCTAATGGCTTCAGTATTTTTCTTTTCAGAGCTTTCTGACTGAAAGTTTAAATCAGAAATTTTTTAGATTTTCTATGCACAGATTCTGCGAAAGATTTTTGCTAATCATGGAGTTATGATGCAGTAACTAACATAAATAAATTACCCTTTCGGTTAATGAGATATAACTTGTCAATGTTTCATCAAAGTTTAAAATAAAGGAGCTAAATTTATTTTTCAGATAGCATGTGACAGCTGTGCACAAAAATGTGAAGTGTCTCATGTAAATGATTTGAGAAACAGTGGATGTTGGGATGGCTATGAATAGTTTGTTTTATCACTATTGTCGACGATATTTAAATACTTTATTATTGATATATTCATTGTTTCTTCTCATAACTGTTATTTTTAGCTATGGCTTGAATAATAATATTGAAGTGGTGCAGCCTACTTTATTCTATTTGTTGAATTCAGGTTATATTGCAAATTTCGGCAAGGATGAAAAAGGCAGTCGGTAAGATTCAACCAGGCTTTTAATATTTATGTAGACTAATTAGTTTATGAGCAACAGGAGTAATAAATCATCTTGTTCAGATTTGTGCAGGAAGAATTTGTAAAAAGTCCATCATCGGTTCGTCAAATGATGTTTGATTACCTTTTCGAAAAAGGTGGATTCGACTGGTTTTGTAATGACCCTCATGGAAACTTCATCATTCAGGTGTTCCTTAGTCACTATTCAGGTTTTCTTTTATGTGAATGACTTATCAATGCTAATAATAGAAAATCGCAATGGAAGCGTTTCCTGGTATTGAGCAAGCAAGAGTTGCCGAACATGTAGCAAGTAAAGTAGTCAAGATGTGTTCGAGTCGATATGGAAGTCGGATTATGCAGCGTATTTTTGAAAGATTCGACTTTGGTTATAGAGTTGAATTACTGAGCAAACTTGATGGTTCTGAATGTTTTTTGGCAGTTGACAGTTGTGCTACCCACGTTATGCAGGTTTGCCTTAATGTTCTATTATTCTATTATTTATAATCTTAAAGCATTTAAAGTGATGATGAAAATTTCAGCTTTTTGCTGTAAAGTAATGTAACGATTTGAATTTCCCTTTATGTAATGATCTAATTGTTTGCATTGCAGAAATTGTTTGCACTTTTCCCACCAACAAAGTACAGTTTCATTGTAATTGCACTCACATTATCTAAGGAGAATTTTAAGCAAGTTGTTCAAAACAAATATGGATGCCGTGTTATACAGTCTGCTCTAGAAGTAAAACTTACAACGTCAAACTTTTTCCACAGAAACCTGCCTTAGAAACCTTAAAAAATCGTCAATTTTTCGAGCTGGTCTTGTTGATTACTTTTTAAAAAAATTTTTAAATAAACATTTTTTTTTCAGGAGCTTGAATTAGCTTCATGTACCGCGCGTTTCACGAATACTCCAAATGAATTCAAGACAGCGCGGCGACTTTTAAACAAAGTGTTGCGACGACTAACCGAAAACTGTGTCGAGTTCACTGACCATCAGTTTGCTAATTATGCTATGCAACACGTTATTACTTCCGATTTTCATCCTGAAGCTCGAGAATACATTATAAAACATGCCATACTGTTTGTATCTGCTTTTTTTTAACTTTATTATGTTTATATTCTTTTAATTGCCAAAATAATACTACAAAAATCTGTTTATTGATCGTCTTTGCATATCTTCAAGTTAAAATGAAAAAGGATACCAGTATACTTCAAGCATTCTATCCCACTTTTGCAGCAGTAATGTGCTTACATTATCACAAGAGAAATTTGCATCTCACGTCGTCGAAAAGTCATTGAAACATGCTTCACCAAGACTACTACAGTGCCTGATGAGTGAAATCTTCGATGGTTACATTAAAGATGAGTAAGTTATGTTGTTTTTTTAATCTGATTTTTTGAACTTTTCAACTTCGTGTATGAATTTTCGTTATGACGGTATAGCATGTAATGCCAACATTGTTCATGTTATCTTGTTTAAGCAATTACTATATATTTTTAGTAAAGGGCGTGATGCGCTTGATATCATGCTATTCGATCAATATGGGAATTATGTTGTTCAAACAATGATTAATGTTTCAATAGACGTACACGATGGTAGACGCGAAGGTGATGCGATATGGTTGTCACGTCTCTCTGAAAGAGTCTCTCGACATGAATCTAGACTTCTCAGATATTCATCTGGCAAAAAAATAGTCGAAAAGATGAAACAGGTGGTCTATATCCTCTATTTTATAACTTTTAGTATTAAAAAAATAAATTACATCTCTTCCTTGATTAATGGGTTACTTTTTATTTTTATCAGAATAAAAATTCTAAAGAATGTCAAAATATAATATTATAATGTGTTTCATAAACTGTACAGCGATAAGAAATTGAAGTTGTAGATGTATAGACAAATTTAATGCTATTTTTAGTGCCCTGTCTGATTTGAGTCTTCTAGTCCATTCAGCGGTACATCAGAAGCTAGCAGCACCGCATATAATCTTGAGGAGTCGCATGTTATGAGTTTTATCAATGAAGCATTTTAGTACCATTGCTTAAAAGTTTTTTTAAATGGATCTTTTGTTTTGGTTTTCAGTTCATGCTTTTTCCATGCGTTAAAAAATTTATATATTCGAATCTTAATTCTTTCATTTGTATTCTCATTTTATATTGTATTTCAGCCTTCATTCACAGTCTTGTTAGGTACCAAAAGTGCTAATTAGATATTTAAATTTTTTGAAAGGTAGATAGTGATGTCCGTTCTTAATTTCTGAGCTGAATATTTATACAATTATTTCAGTGGTTTTTTTTTGTGAAATAAGAAGTTCATCTATTGCTTTCCAGATGCACAGGCTGTCATTTTTCATTATCTGTAATTTCCGAGGTTGATAAAGTTTTTTACGGAAACAAATTTTTAAGCTACATCTGTTATGGATGTAGGTGATTTCCTGGTTTTGTTACATTTATTGCGCTCGCTTTTCAGTATCTTGTCGATTATTTTTTTGTGCCGAACATGCTTGAAGAACTATAAAATTGATGTAAGAGTAATAAAATGTTACGGTAATTTTTCAAGCAAATATTCTCGATTTAGATTACAGTAAGTGAAGTGTTTTCCAAAGAACTGGTTTTTTTTTTCCGCTTTTCATAGCAATTCAGAAGCAAAAACAGTAATTTGCGCATTCTTCTGCTGCATAAATGAAAAATATGATTAATCTTCCGAAATGTATTCTTTAGTACGGTTAGTGTGTCGCACAACAACAGTTACTTCCAGTTTGTTTTTGTTAGCACTTTTTTCTGTTCATAAAATTCTCTTTCGAAGCTCTGTGATGTTGCATGTTCTGCTTGCTTATCGAAATAATTTTCCCAGAAAAATCAGTCAAATATTCCTGGAAAAGTTTCAAAGTTTATTGTAGTAAAGATGTGCCAAGGGAATCTTTTATATCATTTATTTTGCTCCCCTAATCTGCTTACATCGATCACGATTATTTAAAAATCTAACAAATTCTTTAGTATAGTTGAATTTTCTGTAAAATGAGAGCAAAATATGGAAGGAGGTAGTAAATACCTGAATTTGAATTTGGCCACAAAGTACCCAGATAGAAATAGTAGTCGTAGTTTTTGGTGGATCAGAAAAGGCAGAGAAGCCGAAAATTTGCTGGCATAAATGGTTGCAGATGATGTCAAAAAGTACTGTGGGAATATTTTTTTTGGTATCAGAGTGTGCAGCTATAGAATACAGATTTTTCCGTGTCAATAGATTATCAGTTTATATGATTGCAACTGAGATTTGCATAATTTAAACGCATGACATTTGCACCTGATTTGAATTTCTTTTTTCGATGTTTTTCTCTTTCTTCCAAACTTGTAGCAGATTAATTTTAGTCCTTTTAGATGAGTCATGATCCACTAATTAGTTTTCTGATTGGGTTTTCTTTACTAGGACTAATGTCGCAAAAGAAAAAATGCTGTGAAGTTTAGCATTCGAAGAAGTAAGCTAGGCAGTTCTGATTTCAATAAATTTTTTCATTTCGTATGGTTTCTTCTGATTAATTTGAATGAGAAAAGCTTACCAAAGCAATCAAGAAATGGCTAATCTCCACAGTTCATTCTCATTCCTTTTTATAAATGTCATTAAGACCAATGTGATCTTTTCTACTCATTTATTCAACTTTTCGATGCTGATTAATTTTGATTACAACAAATCCAGCTGCTTGACAATTATTATCTCTTGTATGCAGTTTTAAGTAATTTAGTTTGGTCTGAGTGTTTCTTGCGTTATTTTATTTTTCCGACCAAGTTTAAGGGAGACTAAGCATGAAATGCATTTTTAGAGTGCTTTTTGTGTGTTATAAAGTGGAGGCTAGCAAATCGATGGACGCGCAACTTACTTAACCAAACTTACCCTCATATCACTAATAAAGTTCCTAGATAAAGCAGAGTAAGCTTCAGTGACATTTCGTTTGAACTTACGAACACGTTTATCCGTACACAATAAAGTTAGTACCATTATTTGCTGCCGTAACAAAGTATGTGTTGACGAACCATGGGCAAATGCGTTCAGTAATTAAAATTAAATCAGCAACAATAAACTCTATTAGGTGTACTTTTTTTTCGATAAATTTTGCAGAATTTGCAGGTTAATTTGTTTCTCGATTATTTGGCTAAGTTTTTCGAATTTTAAAGCCATGTGCCTATCTATTTTTGCAGATTTTTCAATATATTGTACCATATGTCTTCTCTTGTTATTTTTAAACAAGCCAGAAACTATGATTAAAGCACTAAATACAAAACTAAAGAAGCATTCAGACCAGAAAAAACTACAGATTATTTGAAGTTACCTGTTCACTTATCATATTAGGTTAAGTCGAGTGATCAATCAAAAGTTACTCACGCACATTATACGAGTTTTAAATTTTAATCCAACATTTCCATAAAAATATTAAAATACAAATCATAAAAATTGGATTAGGTATGGTAATGGTCACTGTAAAATTTAGAATCAACCTCTAGTTCACTTGTATTTATTATTATTCTGCCCATGTTTGTATCCATTCATTTGTGATTCATTTGCCAAGGATTAAAAAATGTTTTGATAGCCTTTTGACATGCTTCTAGAAATAATTTCTAGAAATATCACATTACCGCGAAACAGCAATCTCCAACTTTCTCCATTAAATCAATTGCTGAATCAGTCATCATTTAGTTAACGCATAAATTATCTTCTTTTTAACCCACTTATTTGTTTCCTTGTAGCTGATAACTGTTTTATTGAACGAGAGCATAAAAGTTTTGTACTGATGAATCTTTCACCAAGTTTTGTAATGGAATTTGCAAGTTTATTCAAGCGCAAGTGCTTCCGAAGGATTTTTAAAGAATTAAATCATGATGCTAAATTCCAATTGAATTGATTCGTTGCGCTAATATCTTTTGTTGCCACTGAATGTTGCAGATCAAAAGTTCTAATTTATCTAAATTTCATCGGCTGCATCACTTTACTTGGTAAAGGATTTCAAGAACCACAAACGTATTTTAAGCAAATTTAGTTCTAACTGAACTTTTAACATTTGCTTGATTTTTTAAATGCGCTCAACTGCACTCTTCTATATTTTCAAATATCACAAATAACTGCGATTTGACGCAAACTGCAGTGTTTTAGGTGATCACTGTAACACTGCTCAAAATATATGTCCAAACAGTATGCAATAAGCCAGAACACAATTAAACTTAATCGATTCACGCAGCAGGAGCTTAAGTCGTTGCTAATACGCTATATCTCTGTTGAAAAGTTTATTTTGCCGTGAAAGTATCTTTGTTTTGTATTTTGTCTTTGAAAAATTTCAGGACCTACAGCAATGCTCATCAACTTTGCAATTCTTACTTTGGCCCTTTTATTTCATACCAGTGAAGCATTTCCAAAGTTTACCTTTAGAGTTAGTAACGGTAAGATAGTTGAACCAGAAGCATTCTCATATATCGCTGAACTATACATAACTTGGCCAGGTGGATTTTTATTAAAGTAATATTGTCATTAATGCATTTATCAATGTTTTGGTGAATTTCGTATAAAGCAAATTTATTTTGACGGATTTCTAATATTCGTATGCACATAACAATGAAAATTTTGGTACTGACACTTCAAACAAATATAGTCTTAGTTTCCATACAAGGACTAATTCAGCAGTTAATTGATAGCTGAACATGAAAAGTTCTGTTGTGTAACCACAAAGTCAAGAATTAGTAATTCAATTTCTAGGTCGCAAGATCCTTTGCACGGCAAGCCTATTGTCTCGATCCGTAATGATTACTGCTGCACACTGCTTAATGTAAATATGATCACTTTGAAAGTTTGTCACATCTAAACTTGAATAGTCCCTTTACTTAGATAAAATTACTTCGGTTTAGAAAAACTGATAGAAAATGATGTTATTTTTTTTGTAAAATAACGTTTTAACTTTTTTTGAATACATTAAAGTGAAATCAAATGGTTAGGGATGAAAAAACTGAGGAAGTTTCCGCGCAGATAACAAAAGTCATATTTCGACAAAATAATGGGAAGTCGTCGTACATAGTTTGGGCTACTGGTGATATTAAAGGATCTTTAAAGCTGTCTAATCTAAACGTGAGTAGATTCACATAATTTATCTCTTTAACATTGATCTCAGTTAACTATCGGTAAATCAACACTATTTTCGAAGCTAAAGTTTTTGTTGATACAAGTTAATTTCATTATTCTTGGCTTTGCTTATTAAACCAAGAAAGCAAGCGAATTCTACCTTTTAAAAAGTGGCTACGTAAGCATTTTATGACCAGAGAAAGTATTTAAGATAAGTGCTGTTTGGCTATTTAAAAGAGCAATATTCAATATTTTATAATGGTTTTCCAAATTAAATATATTACGCTAATCTTTAAGGATAGTGCAGGAGTTGTGGATTTCGCACTATTTACGTTGGATGTCCCATTACCTGTGTGTCAAACCAGACGCGGCAGAATGTTTTCGATAATTAAATTACCTGTAGAAGACATTCAAGCTGATAAGTGGAAATTTTTTGAGCCATCAGAAAAATATGTTAATGAATGTGCCATATTTGGTTACGGATCCTCTGAGAAGGGTGATTTGTAGTTTATATTTATTTATTTATTTTATTTATTTATTTATTTATTATTTATTTATTTATTTATTTATAAATTTTATAATGTGATACTAATCAATCTATGTTCCAAAGAAGTTAGTCTTATTTTTCTACATTACTGATTCTGGCACGGATCGTATTAAGGCGCTCTCACTGGTCCTGTGCTCAATTATATGTTGCTTCATTCTTGTGGAATCCACGGCGATGATGATCCAATGAGATGCTTTCGACCGTGTTTTTGAGTATTATCGTTTATCGTTGAGATATATATCCCTCGACTTTATCTCAACGATAAACGATAGTGCTCAAAAACACGGTCGAAAGCATCTCACTGATGCCCTTGGTGCAGCGTTTAAAAGTTCGTAACAATTCTAAATCATTACATACAGGATTTATTTCGTCCTTCATCTTATCTCTGACCCAAGTTTATTATTTCACTGTGTCTTGACTTCTATCAACCTGTCCCGACTAGTAGCCAACCTCTATCATAATAACTTCATGACGCTTCTTATTGCGTATCATGATATCCGGTCGATCCACAGTTTATAGCTGTTCTTATCTGCACTCGAATCTCTATGCTCTTATTTTTAACGACCTTCTGAATGGAATGGCTTCGCATGGGATCAAGAAACAAGAAGATAAACCTCCAAAGATCAGCTCGACAATCAAGAATGCAAAGAGGAAGATCAGCCTATGAACTGCCGGAGATTATACATATATATATATATATATATATTTGAATATTAATTTTTGCTTGTTTAATAGTTTATACGAAAAAATTTACGCCTATTTCTGGAAATCATAACTGATTATCTTCAAGATTGAGATCGGTTTTTTAAGAACTACTGAGAACGGAAAGAAATGAGAATCAATAAAACACGAAAATTGAGTTTGCTTGCATCAAGTTATCCCACTGTTAATGATGTTTAGAGTTTAGACTTATGATAATATTCCTAATTGTTGAAAGTGAATGAGGAGGTGAAAATATTTCGTTTCCCTACGACTTATATGTTATATACAAAAACTATTTTAAGCATAGCCAAGTAATATCAAGTTTATACACATCGCGTGATTCAGGAGGTCCTGATGGCGAGTTACGCAGGGCATCAAATCTTTCAGTGCTGGAGGTCAACAGAAGACTTCTAATCCCACTGCAAATGGATAGGAAAAAAGGTCGAATCTGTGGAGTAAGCTGTTTCAAATTTTTTTGCTTAAGAGTATGAATTCAGTTCATGAACTCACACGAAAAATACTTTTTATTTTTACGGATTGGATTGCTGAAGAATGAAGTTAGTAGCTTATAACGACATGCAAACAAAGAAGATATCATTCAAAAGATTTTAGGGCGATTCAGGGGGACCCTTCGTATGCGATACAGATTACGGTGAACGACTTTATGGATTACTGTCTCACTCGGAACCCCTGATATACTCACAGCCTCCTTCTTGCTATGGCGAAGTACTACTTACATATGATTACACTATTATAGCTGTCTTACGTTATGTTTAGCAGTAATTTCTATTCTTTCTTGACATCTTCGTCAGATTAAGTTTGCAAGCCTTTCTCAATTTTTAGAGCAATTTTTCTTTAGAATCTATAATATTATTTCATGTCTCTTACAAGATTTATAGTATTTTAAACGCAGCTCTGCTTGCTAGCTGTACACTTGTCACTAAATTTTTCTTCACTTCACCTTTTCGATCTACTTATCTCTCAGCAAGTATCTTTGTTAGTCAGCTACTCTTCAACTTGCCTTTATGTGATCTGCATGCTGTGTTGAAGAGGTAAATCAATTTTTGCAGGTAGAAGCGTACTTGTTCGATGTCATGAGCGGTACACGAGAAATGTTGCCTCATGTCAAGGAAGCTCTGGTGAAACTCAACAAATTGGATGAGTTCATTGATGATAATTCCAAATGCGAAGTTTGGAAGGCGGAAACAAAAAATGATCGGAATTTTTAAATCGGGATTAAATTCGTTTATCATAAAGCTTCAGTTATATATAGCTGTAAACAATCTGCGTATTTATTTGTGTAAAAACCACTGCTTTAAAATATTTCGGAAGAATAAAGAAGGTAAAATGTTTGGAAAAGTCTTCAGACTTTTGTGAGTTAATATGAATCGAAACTTGTAGTCAGAGCGCACATTTTTTAATAATTAACAGTGATAGAGGTATTTGAAAACGCTAATTTTTGTCTCATGAAAGGTTTCTTTCCTTTCCCACATTCTTCCCAAGAGCATATTCCGTTTGAAGTACTGTAGTGTGAACTGCACTTTCTGAAACTTGTACGCTGCAGTTTTATTCAAGTAATAATTTTATTCCTTTAGTTTATCACTTCTCTTGAGTCATACAGTTTATCATTTTACTTCTGTTGCAACTAAAAATTTAATGATAATGAGGATGAGAAATTTTTCAAACAGCTTAAAATCATAAAATTATGCGAGATCATATCATTGTGAGAAATAATATTGCTCTTTCAGTTGTAAGCAATATTATTTAAATAACAGTAGTATTACTAACTGTTTATACAGTACTATGGAATAGCAAATTTTCAAATATTGTATACCGACCTGCACAATTGACTAACTCAAAAATATCAAAATATTTTAATAAAAATGTTATGATAAATCAACTTATAAATCCATATAAAAACAAACTTTCACTTAATTCTGCTTCCTCTTGGTCAATTTCTATTTCACGCAAACGATTTGCTTCGTAATTTTCTCGTAAAATGGTTCGCCAATCGTCAAAGCCAAAGAAACCTGCTAACGTAGCAAGCATGTACAGAACATTACAACTCTGCAAGTAATTTTTTGACTCTAACCACATTAAAATATATAAGAAGGTACACTAAGTCTACATAATTTTGTAATGATGAACATATTCTACTTGCTTGCCTGAAAGCAATTTTTAATCAGAACATTAAAGCACTTCTGTACCTATCTATTTGAGACAACAAAATATTTGCTTTCATTAATTATAATTACTTGCCCGAGATACCACAGGAATGCATTTAATGAATGCTATTGCCGAGTATGCCAATGACATCGGAATCAGAAATAATAGCGAGCCGATGGCGAAAGGAATTGCAGCTATCATCATTATTGGATAAAGTAATACAGCCTAAAAAATATACAAGTACTATGTAAGATGTGATTGTAGTGAAACATGTAGTCCATAGAAGCACATTGCATTTAAAACTTGTAACTATGATAAAAATTGTATTCATATATAAATGTTGAAAAATTAGTGCAGTCAGAGAGAGGGTGAAAATTTGAAAAAAGTTAATCATATAAATTGGTACTGGAGTAGTTTTAATCAGACTAGTTAATGGCTCTTCCATTTATAATAGTATTTCAATGATAATTAAATTACCACGATGGTCACTACCCACGGTGACTTATGTGCTTGACGCAAACGTTTCCGAATCAACATGATTATTTCATAAGGAAACGTGATAAGTACCAATAAAGGTCCAAAATACTGCAAGAATATATGAAAAAAATTTGAGATAAGATAGAATTTGAATTCTAAACTGATTTTGAGACATTGTTGAACATAAAATTTGTCATCATTAGGCACTAATATATAATAATATTATTTGCAAATATATGAAAATATAAAATGTATAACTTTTCAAAACGTTGTTGCTTAAAATTTTTTAGCTGCACTGTTACCAAGCAAATCAAATGAAACAAATTAACAATTCAAACAATTGATAAAATACTAACAATTAAAGTAGTGCTAACAAGGGGCATGAAAATCAATAACAGAAACCCCTCGGTAAATGCCAGAAATTTTAAAACAAAACAAATTTTGAATAAATCATCCCATCCAAGTTTACATTCTCCACCTACAAATAAAGCATGTAAGTAACAATTACTTTGTGCTTACTTCTTTCTTACTTAAGAATAAGGATTACAGAAAATGGTACTGCTTACTTGAACAAAGCTATAAAACACTGCAACAATTGCCATATACAACAGCAAGTGATGGTGTTCAAAGTCTGGGTTCAAAAAATCGAAATTAATCATAGTTTTGCAGATATTACTACAAACTGAAGGAGAACCTTATAAACTCTTAAGACTAACTAATGAAGGAGTTTATTTTTGCCGAATTAGCAAATAGCGCTCCATTCATATTACACCTTATTTGAACTCGGAGATGCTTTGAATTTGATGCAGAATCAGAAATCACGAGAAATGAATCATTTTGTAAATCATTTATTCTCTACCAACAGCTACAGTTATGCACGAACATATTTTTCAACATTTATTTTGTATAATTACCTGCAAAATGTTGTAAGGATTCAGTGGGCTCATTGCAAATCCAACAAAATCTTTGCTTACACCGTACGTTTACACATTGTACAAAATTACAGCCGTCGTACTGCGCGTAAATTGCCTGAAATAATGTAGACTTTGTGAAACTCAAATATGAAAACATAAAAATTAAGCAAATCGTTAATTAATAACAGCGATTTAAATGCTTACTGTAAGAGCGAAAGCAATCAGTCGAGAAGTCATGAAAATTTTCCAGTGCAGTCTTATTTATACTTTACATCTTTTGTGCTCGGATTTAATAGAAAATTTTACATTTCCATTCAATTCAGTGATTCTAAGCTCATTTTATTATTATCTAGCATTACATAGTTGACAATCAAAGAAGCATCGTCGCAGTTTTGAAAAAATACTTCGCTCTTTGGTTTCTAAACTCAAAACGCGAAATACCACTCAGCGCACATCTATCTCTTTGGATTGACAATCAAAACAAGTTGAACACTCAGAGAATACAAGAATAAAGTCATTGATAGTATTGAATTAAATTTTTTGTTCTTGACAAAGTCTGACTTTACTGAACTAAATTGCTTACATCTCATCACTTCAGGCTAAATTTGATATTCCAATTGAAAAGAAAGGAATCTTTTTCTACTTCGTGTAACTATACTTCAGTTCTTATATTTTCTTGCGGAATCTGATCATAATTAAGTGTAATTTTAATTAAGACACCTCAACATTCTTTATTTCATGTTTTACTGAATTTTATCATGATAGAGAACCACTTTCTTGATGGAATGAAAAAGATAAGTAAGGTTTATGAGAAATGACTTGAGATTTTGTTACCTTGCAGAGGGGGCATCTGCGTACCATATCCATACCACCGAAGGCATAATAAATGCTATGTTTTCGATGTAGATGCAGTAAATACTCGCGCTCCACTCTGTGCATAAAAATGTCTAAATCGTTGTTATCAGAATCGAGAACCGCGTCTATGTCATTTTCATGAATTCTTTTCGGACACGTTCTTTTGGGACATTTGATTCGGGGTTTGCTTTCATCTTCGATCCAGTACTAATGTATTAAACAACCATTGTAGTTAAGATATATTTAAGTTCCAGTACAAACATAATACTAGACATTGTTTGATTCTACTTGCTTATGCCAAAAAATGCTTCACGATGACTTGCAGAAATTTGTTTCAAGTTTACAAGCTCAAATATCTTTTACAGTTCCCGTTCTTTTTGTACAAATTTCTGCACAGACTTTGCAGTAGGAATTTTGAATTATTTTTGGAAGTAAATTCAAAAGTAAAAGTTAGCAGCAGTAATGATAAACAAATGTAAACAATAAAGTATTCAGTTTGCATTCATTTTATTATACATTAGTGCATTTCAACTTGATAATTTACGACTTTCATCATTTGCTAGCCTTCAATGCGAATTAACTTTGGTTGCCACAAATTTTTCTTTCCTTTTATTTACATTGCAGCAAACTTACTTCATCATTTTTCTCATTAAAAACTTGGATCATTAATTACTCGAATGAATGGGGATGAAAATTCACCTTGAGATGCATAAGAATGCAAGCGATACATACAAAGTGCGCGCATTGTCGTAATTTGATACGCCAAACATTGCTTTCCTTGCATTTACAGCATGATAATCCATTTGCTGATTGCAAGTCATTCTCAATTTCCCTGAAATTAATAAAGATAAACATTGTAATTATCCATGTCTTGGGCGGGAAAAAAAGTGAGATCATTTTATTTAAGGAATGATTAAAAGACAACTCGCTTTTATTAACAAATAAAAGAAATTAAAATTGAATTTTGGGAAAAAGTAAAGTCAAATCTGCAGCAACCACTAATTGCTTCTCATGAGAAAATCTGATATTTATTTAATCTTTTGATAACAAAAAACTCTAATGATTCTGCAAAGAGTTTATGTACTCGTAATAATAACAAATAGTCCATGTGAATAATTTTGAAACTTAGTTTACTTTTGCGCTTCGTGATTTTTCTCTTGATTAGCAGTCGTCATATGCACATTTATTTAACTGAAAACTGCATCTTTTTTAATTGAATTGGAACACTGCACAAGCTCAAAATTTGGGCAGGTGGGTTGATAAATTAAAAATACACGGGCTAATTAGTTAGCAAGCGTAAATCCATTAACTCAAATGACATTTCAGGTTTTTTTCGGGGAATGCTTGTTTTTATTGGGTCAAAGGATTGTCCGCGGATGAAAAGTTGGAAAACAATTTGAAAAACTGTTCAAGCGTTGACACAAGAATGAGCAAATGTGGACAACAACCTGTCGGTATGCGTCGCTCACTTGCAGTGCAGTTTATTGTCGAAGATAGGAACGTAATAAATGAATAAATAATTCATATTTTTGAGTTAATCTTCTAACTAAAGCAGCAGTCTTAAAATAAAGATTAGCGTGTGAACAGAGAAGACAATCGAGTGCAAGCTCTGAGGAATTTTCAACCTCTTTTAAATACTTTTCAGCTCGCTAATACCAAAAACAAAAAGTATAGACTTGTCGTGTTCAAATTAACTTTATAACTTCGAGTTGATGTTGTTATGTAATGACTTCAACATTTGATTTATTTATTGAGTGCCAACTCGCGCTTGGCACCGCATGATGTACTGTACACGTTATTTCCTTCTCTCTTTGACAAAGGCTAAATATTTATTTATACCTCATTTTCTTTCTCTCAAAATTTCTCTCTTCTTTCTTGCACTTGAATGCATTAGACTAGACTAAGTTGCTTTCAAGTTCAATTTAGCGATTGTTTCGGAACTTCTTCGTAGCGATCAACTAAAGATAGCTTTATTACAAGAAAATTCTTTATCCTACACACAACCAAAACCACAACACACTTTTGAGTTCAATTTTCTTTAGGAAAAAATTTGAAAAAAAAGAGTACTACATCTTTGCTTTCTTTACTTTCTCATGCATACAGTTTTACTTTGTACTTCCTGCATTGCAGTTTTCTCAAACTGTAACAGACAGTGTATCATAACGTCGAGTCTCATTCTTCTTCATCTCATTCATTACAATACGCTGTCGTTTGGTAATGAATTGCTGTCTTTAACGGACGGAAAAATCAATTAATTATAATTTAACTAACATAGTTGATTCATTTACGTCTCATTAAGTATTGTTTTCTGAACCACGAATATGTGAAGCATATTTGCTCCTAATTATGCAGTTGTGAAGCTCAGGTGATGTTCTTAAGACCAGCCGTAATTTCGTTATTGGCCTTTCAATGTGCATGTACTACTGCTAAAGAAGATGCAGACTTTGAAAAAGACAATGGCGTTTTTGTGCTCAATGAAAACAACTTTGAATTATTTCTTCAGAAGTACCCAACAGCACTAGTTGAGTTCTACGCCTCATGGTAAACTTCTCAAGTGTTTTCAGAAAAGTAATCTCTGTATTGCGCAAATATGTTGACATTCATCCGCAAAATGTGATACATCTTTTATTGGCTACATATTTGGATTAAAAATTAATTACAAATACCTAGATTTTATTTATAAATTGAATCTTTGCAGAGCAGTTTTTTTTTATTCTCAGGTGCAACCACTGTAAAGCATTCGCACCAGAATATGCAAAAGCCGCTAAAAAACTGACGATACCTTTGGCAAAGGTAGATGCTACAGTGGAAACGAAATTGGCAGAAACGTACTGCAGAAATTGATACTTTTCATGTTTGAGAGCAGTTTATCAAATTATTCGCTTTCAGTGTCACCTCAGATGGTGAAAATCAAAATCATAGGATTTTTAGCAATGAAAGTCTTTATATTTGCAGTGAGTGCTATCAAATATTTTTCTTGACGTATAAATTTGAGTGGTTTCAGTTACAATATTGAAGATTATCCTACTCTTAAATTATGGCTCAACAGCGACAGTCCTATTGATTATGATGGTGAACGCAAATCTGATGGTGTGAAACTCTATCATTTTTGGAAATTTTTGACTTGGTTTAAGATTGAAGAACTTTGAAAAACAGTTAGTTTATCATCACAGCTGGATTTTGATATATCTTGATTTGTATTGGTGGATTTCAGAAATCATTCAGTGGGTTTATGAGAAGACAGATCCTACATATAAGTCACCATCATCTGCAGTTGTGAAGCTAACGGAGAGAAATTTTAGTGTTTTCATCTCTTCGCATCCACTTGTATTAGTTAAATTCTATGCATCGTGGTGTGGTCACTGCAAAAAGCTTGCACCTGAATACGAAAAAGCTGCACAACAGCTCAAGGTATATTGATATTATTGATTTAATTGCTTAATTTCTAGCAAGTGGAGTTTACTTCTAAATCACACTTACAAAACACTGTGTTTTATAATTTAGTTTCAAAGACATTTGTTTCAATTAATTCAGTAAAAACAACATGAATATTAATATTTTTCTAGGGAAACGGAATAGTGCTTGCAGAGGTAGATTCCATTGTCGAGCATAATTTATCTTCTGAACATGATATCACTGGTTATCCGAAACTAATTATTTTCCGAAATAAGAGAAAATTTGATTACAATGGACCTAGAGATGCTGCAGGTATCATCTTTTACGAATTAAAAAATTAACTGAATTTTCATCAAATCAGATATTTTGTTCAGGTATTGTGTCATACATGACTCAGGAAGCTGAACCTGCTCTGAAAAAAGTTGCTACAGTCAAGGAGGCTCAGCGTTTTATGCTCAAAAATGATGTAACAATAATTGGTTTTTTTGCAGACGAAAGTGAAATAATATTAGATGCTTTAAGTGATGCAGGCAAGCGTTTCAATTCAAACTAATTGAAGGGTCTTCTTTTCGTATTGTGGTAAAACTTTATATAACTAAGAAGAAAACGAAATTTGTATTGTGAGGCTATGGTTTTGGCTATTATATATCATCACTGAAGCAAATAAACAGAACTTCGATGCATAAACTATTTAGACAAGACTGTTAAACTTTTTTTGTAACTGGACACAATGTCAGCTTTTATTTTGAATACAGTGATTCAAATTGTGATTTTTAGCTGAAATAACACGAAATGATTTAAATATCGCTGTTTGCCTGGAAAAAGATGTTGCTCAACATTTCCAAATTAATGAAGATAAAATTGTCATTTTCTTTCCTGAAATATATTGGAGTAAATATGAACCAAATCAAATTGTATATGAAAAGGTGAAAACTTTCAGTTAGCAGTAAGAACTTTCTTTTATCTCTTTTTAATTGTGCAGTTCAGAATACCTGCATTTAGTAAAAGTGTCCAGGAAACTGCTCTTTTTTCTCTGGAGAATAATGGTATTTAAAGCGCTTAATTAAAATTTGAGTATTTGCAGAAAGCTGGTACTGCAGAAGACTTAGTAACTTTTTTTCAAGAAAATTCAACTCCTCTAGTTGGTCACAGGACTAGAAAGAATGTTGCAAGCAGATACACTACTTTTCCTCTCGTAGTTATTTATTACAACGTGGATTTTTCATTGGAATATCGCGAAGGGACACAGTACTGGCGAAAGAAGGTAATATTTTTGTCACGATGCCGTAAAGTAGAATAGACTTCAGTAAAGGCCTTCACATTGTCATACATGGTTGTTTTTGTTTTAGAAAGAATAAAATTTACTGACCTATTCACTTGTTATATTTGCTAGCAAATTTTAACGTAAAGCTGATTCCAAAAGTTTCACATGAAAAGAAATAGCAGTGGTTTCTTACTGCTTCTTGTTTATAAGATATTCTTTGTGAATAAGAAAATATGAATATTATACATTCGAAAAAGTATTCCTTCAACTTTATTTCAATTTTGTTTTCAGGTATTGGATTTTGCGAATAAATATAAAGAAAATAAATATCGCTTCGCAATATCAGACGAAAATGAATTCGCTGATGAACTTGCGGAAGTTTGTTTTTTTCAATTCTTTCAATTTTTTTTTTGATGAGGCGGGATTATTATTTATGATAAATTAGTATCTATTCATATGTACGTGTTGGTTCAATCTCTCTTAACTAGATTTGAATAAGAGTGAATATATTTAATCAGTGAAAAAATTGTGCGCTTTTCAACGTCGTCTTCATGTGTTGTAGGTAGGCTTAGGAGACAGCGGTCTTGAACATAACGTTTTAGCATTTGGCTATGACGGCAAAAAGTATCCTATGAGTCCGGATGAATTCGATAATGGATTAGAGGAAAACCTTTTCGCTTTTATGAAAAAATTGGTCTCAGGTATAGTTCTACTAGAACCCACCATTTACAGTTGAATATTTGTACTTTATACTGTTCAAATTAGTCTTTTTCAATAAAAGCTTTAGGTTTAGGATTAAATTTTCTTAGCTATAATATCATTTTGTTTTAAAGGTAAGATAAAGCCTTTTATAAAGTCGGCGCCTCTGCCGAAGAATGATAAAGGGCCAGTGAAGACTGTGGTTGCTTCAAATTTCGCTCAGATTGTATTCGATGAAACAAAAGATGTAATGGTTCAGTTTTATGCACCATCTTGTGGACACTGCAAGGTTGTTGCATACATTGAGGATCCATTTAATTTTTTTTCATTTTATTTGGATTCCAAATTTGTACTGTTCATAAATAATGACTGTAATCGCATCTAGTTTTACAATCAAATTGTTTTGTGGGAATTAAGACTTCATTAACAGTAACAAAAAACACGGTAAAGTCATCAGTGTTTTTAACTTCAGGCATTTGAGCCGAAATATAGAGAATTGGCGACAAAATTGAAAAGAGAGGAACCGAACTTATTACTTGTAAAAATTGATGCAATTGCTAATGACGCTCCTGACAACTATGTTGTAAATAGTTTTCCAACGATTTACTTTGTGCCAGCTAATAAGAAAGAACAGCCTATTAAATACGAGGGTGATCGAGATTTAGATGATCTCACGAAGTTTATGAAAAAGTACGCATCTGTTTCATTCCAAGGCAAAACTGAGCTCTAAAATTTTCATGAGTTCATTTTCATCTTATTTTCATTTATTCTAAAAAGATATCTTTACAGGATACATAAAACTTTTTCGTGAATAAACAAAATTGAAAACTTCCTTTACTTTTAAGATTTCGTTTTTGATGCATCCAGTTGTTTTCCAATTAAGCAGACTTTAAAATTCTCCTTTACTTGTTATCGGATGTGCTGCGATTATTGAAGAGTTTATTTCATTAATTTCAATTTTATGTAGTAAAGTTGTGTTTTCAATGTTGCTTTTATTCACATTAATCAAGAACAGCAAAGAACTCTTTTACTTGGAACTCGACAACGCTTAAATATTTGTCTTACATATCTCTGGTATTAAGCATGCTCATATTGAAAAATTCAAGTAATCCGCTTGAATATTTGTTGAGATAATCTTAATTAGACAATTATGATTACTTGACCCATGTAGAGAATAATTGAAGAACATTGATTCGAAATAGGAACACCTCACAATTATCACAAATTGTAATTTAAAATCGAAATTAAGAGTGCTAAACATTACTGAATTCTCACTTTCCAGTTTGAATATGATTTGAAGAACTAGTAAATGCTCAGGGTAACTGCTTCGAAGTGAATTTCGTGGTTGAGTGCGTCAGAGAGTTGAATATGATTATGAATCTGAAGCAATATATAATGTAATTAACTGAGATGAGCGGTTCTATTTACTTAGTTTTCTCCTTCATTCGTTCAGTGTGCTAAAGATGAGCTAAAACAGAGAAGCAACATCATAGTGCTTTATTGCCGCATACACGAAGGATGCGAGCAGGTAGCTGAGGGAAAGTTTGGTCTCAATCTGAGCAAGTTGCGAGTAAAACTCGTTTACTAACTAACTAGATGCCTAGTAGCTTGTTGATCTCACTATCAAATATTTATCCTCTAAAATCGTAAATTTCGTTTGCAAACTGTCACTACACTCTCACATCTTAGCTCTAAATATTTTCCTTTTCAACAATGTACAGTCTTTCATAAAAGCTGGCATATTTAATTACGTTATGCTTTCGCTCTTAAATAGTTTTACTGCTTTTGCTCAAATTTACCCGTTTTTAACTTGTTCTGTGCAAAATATTTTAATGTTTTTGAATGTTTGTGTAATAGTAAAAAAAGCGTTCAAAAAAAGATTCCAATGTAACAAAAGAACGATTTTAGATATATTTTCGGCATCGTATGCAAAGTGCCAGATGTGAATTATTTTTGAACTTTTTGATGAAAATATGTAAATGAAAACTGCTTGCGAAAGCTAAGTCTTTCATTATGAGTTTGTATACGGATAGAAGAGAAAAAGTGGGGGATTCGTCTGAAGATGGATTCGTCTGCTTATTTGTTCCGTTGTATACCTGAAATGACATGGATGCAACATCTAATCAGCATCCATTGGAAAAAATTTCAATTGTGATTGCTACTGTCAGATACCCATGTAGCTAGTTAAATAAAAGAGTGAATCATTTCTGATAAATATCCTGGAATTTTTATTCTCAAAAATAGCTTGTATCTGCCATAAACGCAATCTCTTTCGTTTTATTACGTGTTTTCATATTTATTTGCTTTTTTATTAAAAACATTTTTCATTCAAGCAGCATTTTTCAAATTCGCTAGTCGCCAATTTGCCATGATTTTATAGTGATATAATTAAGTAAAATGTTGTCGTTTAGGTCATCAATAGTTGGCAATATTTGAACTTACTCTTAATGGAACTTTAATTTTTTAACGTTGAATAATTGTGGAATTTGCAGATTTTTGTAGGTTGTGTCGCAAAACTAATTTTTCTAGTAAGCTTGATTAGAGTGATCTATTTCTAATGTTACCTCACGCGAGGCTAAAAGTCATAAGGTCTTGACGACATATATATTTATTTGTCAATTAATTTATGTGGGTAATTTAAGTTTTTAGCTAGCAAAGATGGATGATAAAGTTGCGTTGACACACAACTGGAGTGCTGATCTGTGGGACTGGCCTTTGCAGCACAATGATGGCGTGACGAAAGTAACGAACACTCAAGAACTGTTCGAAGTTGGCTTGGATGTGTCCTTCTTCACACCTAAAGAAATTGAAGTTTGTTATTAGGAAGAGAAACTTTGTTAATTGCCTACGTAATAAGTTTTCAAGCAGATTCTTCCGCGTATTTGGCATTATGACTGATCTCTTTGTTGCTCTTTTTGTGCTAATTTTGTGTGGACATTTCTACTCAAAAATGCTGTAAATATTGAAAAGAAAATGAACAAAACGATGTTTCTGGAGAAAGTTCGGAAATAAACGTTGCTTAAACAACTCTAATAGATTGCTCGAGAGCTGCTCATTTCTATAAGTTGAGCATAGTTCCGCGATTTTAATATTTTCAACTTCTTACTTAATCAGAAGACATATTCTTCTGCTTTTGAATAAAGTTTTTTCTGTACATTATACTTAAAGTTTAATCAGAAATGAATACAGTTTATATTATTTTATTTTGCATATCCTTCATTATGTTTTCAGATAATTGCTTCTGACTGCAAGTTTTCATGCGTTCATCTACACTTTATTATAAAACAGACAGTTTAAGAACAATCTATAATACAGAAATTATTTAGTAATAGCCATGTTCTAGGTAAAAGTTGCCGGTGACAATGTGGTAATTCACTGTAGACATGAAGCACGCACTGATCAATACGGTGAGATTAGCCGTGAAATCAGTCGCACTTACAAACTCCCACCAGATATTGACACAAAATCACTAACATCAAATTTAACTACTCGTGGACATCTGATTATCTCGGCTAAGAAGAAAAAGTGATAGTACCCCTTTTGTTCCTGCCCTTTGAAATCGATTCTTTTACTCCATTTTTTAAAGTCTTCATTTAATATTAATATATTAATAACTGTGTATCAGTAATGGCATTCTTGTGCCTTATTTTTTAATTACTGTGAAATAGTTTTTTTAAATCATTATATAATAGTGCATACCTCAATTTCAATCAAAAATTTATTTTCAAATTGAATATTGAATTAATATTCTGAAGTAATTCTGAGCAGTCAATTTGTGCATGGATAAAACTGCCAGTAACTTTATTGAGAGGTGAGAAACTGAACACATCTTGAAGCAAGCATTATATTTGATACTTCTTCCAAAGGAGTGATATTATGCTTTTCGCTCAGATACACTCAAAATTAGCGTTTTTTGAGTAACTTAAGTCCTAAGCTAGAATCGTCTGTTAATATTAAGATTATTTGTGATCATTTCTTTATATTATCACTATTAATTCTTTTTAAAATTGTTTCGATAATTTTCAGCAGGAATATCGATGTTGAAGTGATCACTCAAAAGTTTTTAAAGCATTGGATGCTATAAATATGTTATAGATATTAAAGCCTAATAAACGTTAGAGTGACAGGCAGAAATATACTATTACACATTTATCTTATAAACAGGGTGAGGAATTTTCAAAACACTCATTGAATATTTGTCGTAAAGTGAAAAATCATTAAACTTTGATTAATTGAGGATTTTCTGTATTCAATTTCACTGTAGCCAAAATCATTTCACGAGTAAAAATCAAGATATCTTTAATTTCTGAAATTGTTTTTCTTCCGAAATCAATTCTTAGAAGTAAAGCAAAAGTTGTGATTGTATTTTAATCTGATACTTCTTACGAAAACTTTTGATAACTTTCAAAACAAAAAAGTACAAATATAGACAGAATCGAAATACGTAGATCCAACTAACTTTTGGACTGGTAAATGAATTTCATTTCAATTTGCTGAAAATAAAAACGAATTTCAACTTGATCAAGAATAAAGATGTCAAGAAAAATTTGTTGATTCTAACAGTTCTGTAAAGATGTTCAATTTTTATCTCAGGAAATCTGAAAAAAGCATGTTATGCTATGCATTTGTCTAAGACTGATTATACAAAATCGAACTGTGGAAGCAGCAAACAAAAATAAAACAAGTAATGAGAGGGACGGCTAAATTAGCACTTTCCATCAAGCGATAGTGATATATTGAAGTTATGTGTAATGATTATGGTCAGCAATAATTTTTATTAATGGATATTTAATCATTTTTAGTACTGCCAAAACTTGCCAACTGCAAAAGAATTTAAGGGAAAATTTTTGCACTTTATTATTTTCATAATTAATACAAATAATTAAAAAGGCATCTTTAAATTTTGATGTCATGAGAATCAAAGCAAATCCAATCATCATGATCTACTTACTACTCGTGAAAAAACCCAGTTTGTCCTGCTATTACTTCTACCTGTACTAAGTAAATCTGTTCATACGTTTACTTGTGCAAGCAATGATGTGCAATTTTCGAATTTAAACAAATTCTCCGGAAAAGTGAGAAATTCATGTTTGCCAGGTAAGACTTTTCAAGTAGGCCATGAGTTTCAGTTGCAACAAACTTCTGAAAATAGATTTGGTCTTAAGAAAAGTTTGTCGAGAAGTTTTCTAATCACCGAAATAGAAATCAGTGTAAATATCAATACTAGCATAATAATTAGAAATTTTCTGATTTTAGAAGCAAATTTGAGGAAAATAAGTGAAAGACAAAGTGAGATCGAAGATAGCTGTCATTTTGCATAAATAATTACAATGAGTAGTGTATACTGAACAAGTAAGGCAGTACAAAGTAGGGCAAGTAAAATAGTAATTATAGAAAGTTAGTTTATGTAGTACAAAAGACGCATTAAAATCTGCAGCGAGACTAATATTCGGGGAATAAAAGAAATGCAGTTGAAAAAAATGATTGATAACGAGAATTCATATATTCTCGTTGTCGAGAAAAAGTTTCGCAGAATCAATCAGAATGTTTCAAAACGATGATGGAATGAGGCGGCATCTCGAACACGGTTCGCCTCCGTGCAAGCCTGTCGAATCTCCTTATTTACCGAATTTGGGCCACAACTAAATACGCCTATTTCTCCGACCTTAAACTAATAAAATTTAGCTTAAATTTATATGATCAATATTTCAGTGAGTATCTGAGGATAAATTAAAACAATAAAAAAGTGGAAAAACTGCCATTAACAAAAATAAGCACAATTTATTTTTTTCGATTTCGATCAAATTTCGAG